CATTGGACCAGTTCTTCGATTCAGGGAAAAGGAAGGACATATTTGTCGGCTGCATCAGAGGAGTCTTCCGTTTTGGACGTCCTTCGTCGCGGCGCTGTGACGTATGCGGCCGACAAATTCGACCTTCGGAGGACCCGTCCTGCCGTTTTGGACACAGCCATAGTGCTGCCTCTGTGGGCACTAACCATCCGTCATACCCACCTATACTCATAGTGCTGCCTCTGTGGGCACTAACCATCCGTCATACACACGGAGCAACGTGGTTGGCACAACAACTTAGCGGTTGGTCCGCTCAGTCCTGCTGTCGTGATGCGTTACCTCCATGGCACAGAGGACCCCCCATGGACCCGCCTGGCTCCAGACGGACGGTAAAATGACATTGTCCACCCCCGGGAACAGTCACTGCGCGAGCGAGGACGCGTGACGGCTGTTTCTCAGCAGAAACACAGACGTAAAGGAACATATAACACGGGCGAAGCGCGCGGTTTTCCTGTCTCCCGACCTGTGCAGCTCTGGGCGTCGGACGGTCCCACCCGCATCCGAGACCATGGCAGAGAGAAGCGGCCGGCTGAGTTTAGCCGGCAGCGGGGCTCTGAACCGACCGGTGCCCATGAACCTGTTCGCAACGTGGGAGATAGACGGATCCTCCCCGAACTGCATTCCGAGGTAAGACCGCAGGCATGGCGCAGTTTCGGTCTGTTTCAACTTTAAAGCCGATGTCACCGCTGTGCTAACGTCACAGCAGCACCGGTCAGCTGGGTCTGTAGGACCGTCCCGGGTGAGTGCCCATGCAGGCCTTGTCGGGGTTTCGTAACACCGGGTAGCTACAGATAATAAGGTGGKAGTAACCCTGCTTTGTGAGCAGCTCGCAGTTTGTCAACAATTTATTAAAACCAGTGCCGATCAGCTGCATTGTGGGCCAGACTCAGTCTGCGCCATGAGAGCCAGACTCAGTAAGGTGGGCTCCGCACATAGGGAGCCTCCAGCAGACCTCAGGCTGGATTACACTCAGACCCTGAGGTCACCTCTACATCATGTTTTTTTTWAATTGTTAGTTAACATGTCATTAGTTTCCCACGTTGAGGTTTTACTTTGTAGGACTGGGGATCCTGGCTAATTCCCTAAAATCCAGTTAATTCTGATTCAATCTGTTATCGCTCAATCACGATTTAGTTCGATTCAATCTGCTCTTAAATATTGAAAATGGTTACAAAATACAAATTTACTTCATTTTTTTCTCGTCTCTATAGGCTTTCAGGGCGAACTTGTAACAGTTTAAATATGAACTGCAAACAAAACGGTCTCAAGTTTCAAAGGTTTTAAATGGAAAAAAAAGAATTGCAAGTGAATATGTACTTAAAGAGTAACTTACTCCAAAATTAACTTTTTTTTAGCTGATAAACTGTCTAGAATTTGTCTAAAATGTTATATAGTACTGTTTCTGTGCTAATTTTGATGTTTTTGTGCATATTTGTTCAAATCTGTAA